GCTCCGGGTTGCTCCAGGTTGCTCCAAATTTAAAGGCATAATTTTAAACCCACTCCAATTTGGGTTGGGTTCTACTCTGGAGTACTCTGGAGTACTCTGGAGTACTCTGGAGTAAGCTACTCCATTAACAACCCTATCAATAGCAAACATATATCGGTATATAAAATTTGTTGATAAAGTCATTATTAAAATTAGGAACAGAAGTATATGCCTTAAATATCGAACAAGATTAAATACTTGTAAAAAAGATGGTTGTGTTTATTCTCACATTTATCCATTAAAAAAAAAAAAAATTCTTAAAATGAGTGTGAAAGATTTATTTACATTGCCATTATTTAACAAAATCACTCTAGAATTACTCTAATTCGCTCTAATTAAATATTCAACCATCTAAACAAATCACTAAAATTTGTTTAACCCATTCAAATGTTTAAATTATCGTAATAATAGTACAGTATAAAAATTCAATTACTACTATATTTAATATTCTTTATGGTATATAAAGGAATGAATGTGTGTGTGAATGAAAAAGATAGTAATTTTCTCTCAAGGATCCACCAAAAGAGATTGAAAAAATTGTTCAATAAATGAATAGATGATTACCAAAAATTATAAATAATTGTGGCCGATTAAAATGAAATTTGGATAGAGTAAAATAGACAAACCGCTGAAAAATGCAAAAAAATGCAGAATTCACCAAAAATGCAAAATATTGGGAGCATTTTTTTTAGCTCAGCTTTATAGGTAGAATTATAAATGGGTTTAAGGAGGTTAAATAGAAACCCAATTCATTTCAATCCGAGTTAATTATGATCTGCAACATTGATTGATGTCAATTAATTAGCATGAATAGACACATCAGTAAGTTTAGTAATTAGCGGGGTGTTGATATCATTCCAAGTAGAACGACGAGCTCTTGGCCGTGATCGTATAATACTTTTAACATATTCTAATCGTTCATTATCACATTCGAATTGTTTTAAATTTGGTAGACTTGATCGTTTTTGGCCGGTCTATTTAAAAGAAAACATAAATTAGCAGTCTGTAATGTAATAAGAAAATTTATTATGAACAATTAAATTAATTAATTAAATTAATCACCTTGTACTTTTCATATTGAAATATGGCATGAAGACGTAATCGAGTTTGATCAAAAGTTTCTTGTGATACTTTATCTATGAAAGCTTCTGTTGGTACAGAAAGAAAAAGAGAGAAATTAAAATTAAATTTATAAATAAATAAGTTTACGTATGGTAAACAATAAAAAACAAAGAGAAACAAAAAAGAAACAAAATAGTATATAACATACTTGTCCTTGGGGTTATAGGAAAACTCGATTTTACTTCATGAAAATCATTTTTAATAGAAAAGTCTTTCGCCGAAATAGCATTTATCGCAATACTATTAGAGCAACGGTTTGTAGCAAATTTATGCGGAGGTT